TTCGGACCGTGAGTACCTTTATTTTAAATGCTTTATAAAATCTATATCCTACTGGGCCTTTCGCTCACCTTTTTCTGTTTTTAAATGTATTAAACCCCTCCAGGCGACGCGAGGAGTGGTGCGGAATAGGTAGCTATTACCGGTGGTGTGGACTTGATCTCGGGAAGCAAAGAGTTGTAACCCTTCTATCTTTTATTTCAAGGCATGTATAAGAGATTATGGTTTGTAAACTTAAATGTTGCTAGATTGTGGTTGATGTCACATTTACTTATGTTTATATTCATGTATGCTAAACCCCTGTGGGAATTCCTGACATGATACCAGTGATGTGGTTTTAAAACTGGTTTGGTTGGAAATTCCACCACCGTTCTTGAAATTAAATTTCTCTTGAATGCAGGGGCTCGTTTGGAAATACCTGAATGTTTTGGATTTGAAAGGAATTAAATTATTTTGCTAATCACTCTCTCTCAAACAGGTTTAAGTTTCTAAACGAGCCTCCACGTCACCAACCCCGGTTTAGGGGCGTGACAAGACTTGGTATCAGAGCCCTTGGTTTAGAACCTTAGGGTTTGGAATTATGCATACATGAATGACATCAGGAAACCACTAAAACAGTCTAGCTTTCTTTTCAGATAAGAGAATGCCGCCGCGCCGTAGAAATCCTAACCCACCGGCGATGCCGAATGAGCAATTTATGGAAGCCATGTACGCCACCTTTCAAGGGATGGCTACTAGAGCTCAAAATGAACGTCCTGCGGAGGACAGAAAATAGAACTACTTCCGTGAGTACAGACGTAGTTCAATTCCTGTATTCACTAACGCGGGTGGACCCGAGGAAGCTGAGTATTGGTTCCATTCGGTGTCTAAGCATCCAATTCGAAGCGCTCTTTAATGAGCAATTCTTTCCTCCAAGTTATCGAGATGAAAAGGCCATGGAGTTCATGGGCCTACAGCAGGGAGACATGACAGTGCGAGAATATGAAGCTAAGTTCAATGGACTGTCCCGTTTTGCTCCTTCCTTGATTGAACCGGAGCGCATGAAGTGCTTAAAGTTCGAGAAAGGTCTTAAGGGTGTGATCCGGAAATCAGTGGTAGCTTTAAGGCATCGAGTCTACAGTGACCTGGTTGCAGCAGCCATCTCTGTTGAACAAGAGCACATCGCCTTCCTCCAAGATCGAGCAACTTCAGGAAAAACTTCAGGAGGACCTCAAAGGAATAACAGAAAAGGCCGTGATCAAGGGCAAGGTAGTGGGGGAGTGCCTAGTGGTAGCAGTGGCTCTTCGGGAAGTGGGAAGAATGGACCCTATAGCTTCAAATGCCACCATTGTGGGGAGCTAGGGCATATCAAGAGGAATTGTCCTATCAGAGGCCAACAGGTGAACCAACAGGCCCAGCAATCACCGCAGAATCAAAGGGGCATTGCTCCTAGTCAAGACAGACGTCCACAGTTCACGCCTTTTTATCAGCCCTAGTTTCCTGTACAGATGTCACAGATGTCAATTCCTCCTGCACCGATCTTCCGTCCGCCGAACTACTCTTATTTCTGGCCACAGGCTTCCGTATCTGTACAGTCTACCGCACCGCAGCAACAGTATAGGCCTGGAAACCAGAGGCCTAACAACAACGAAAGAGGAAAAGGGAAAGCACCGGGGCAGATGCATACCATGGCCGGGGGAAGTTCTGGAGCTCATGCCGGAAACCCAGTCGTCGAGGGTATGGTACCTATCTCTCACTCTTTTGCACGAGTTTTGTTCGACACTGGTGCTACGCACTCTTTTGTTTCCACTACTTTTGTGAAAATTTTAGGTTTGAAACCCGATGACTTAGAGACTTCAATGTTTATAAGTTCTCCATTGGGACGTGTGGAGGTGACTAGCATATGTAGGTCGTGTGTGATCACGATTGGAAATGAGAAGTTAAGGGCAGATTTGATAATCCTTCCCATGAACCAATTTGATGTAGTGCTTGGAATGGATTGGTTGTCAAGATATGGGGCGATTGTTGATTGCCACCGTATGAGAGTTACCTTGACTACCGGTTCTGGCACAATAGTAACATATCAGGGAGGTGTTAACCTGGTTACTGAAGAGCGACTACTGAGGCATAGTGTCGGAGGACGACGGAATTTAACTTGTTTCTCATTCCTTTCGGCATTAGAGGGTGAATCCGGTATCGTCGGGGAGAATGTTGAGGTCCCCGTGGTCGATGAATATACGGATGTATTCCCTAATGAGTTGCCTGGTTTACCACCTGATCGAGAGATCGAGTTTTGTATCGACTTACTTCCGGAGACGGCTCCGATTTCTATTGCTCCATATCGAATGGCGCCTGCGGAGATGAAAGAGCTAAGGAAACAGCTCGGAGAGTTGGCAGAAAAGGGATTCAATAGAAATAGCACATCCCCGTGGGGTGCACCTGTCTTGTTTGCGAAAAAGCACGACGGATCCCTTCGGTTGTGCATAGACTACCGACAGTTGAATAGGGTTACCGTGAAGAATAAGTACCCATTACCGAGGATCGATGAGTTGTTCGATCAACTAGGAGGATCACGGTATTACTCAAAAATCGACTTGAGATCCAGATATCATCAGTTGAAGATTAGGGAAGATGATATTCCAAAAACAGCTTTCAGAACTCGCTATGGGCATTATGAGTTCTTAGTAATGCCTTTTGGATTGACGAATGCTCCCGCCGCTTTTATGGACTTGATGAATCGAGTCTTCCGCCCATATTTAGACCAGTTTGTGATAGTCTTTATTGATGACATCCTGGTTTATTCAAAGACTTGGGAAGAGCATGAGCAACATTTGAGGATCGTTCTCCAGACTCTTCGAGAACACCAACTTTATGCAAATAAGGAGAAATGTGATTTCTGGTTGACAGAAGTCCAGTTCCTTGGACATGTTATATCTGGAGAAGGAATTTCAGTGGATCCCGCCAAGATTGAAACGGTGCTACAATGGGAACGACCGAAGAACGTTGCCGATATTCAAAGCTTCCTAGGACTTGCGGGGTATTATCGACGATTTGTAAAGGATTTCTCGAGTATTGCAGCTCCAATGACTCGGTTGACTAAAAAGGAAGTCAGGTTTGAGTGGGATGCCGATTGTGAACATGCATTCCAAGAACTGAGGACTAGACTAACCAGTGCGCCGATTCTGACGATTCCTAATAGCGATGAGCCGTACGAGGTGTATTCCGATGCATCGAGACGAGGACTCGGGTGTGTTCTGATGCAAAATGGACATGTTGTGGCCTATGCATCTCGTCAACTGAAGCCACATGAACAGAACTACCCCACGCATGATCTAGAGTTAGCAGCAGTGATTTTTGCTCTCAAGATATGGAGATGCTACCTCTATGGATTAAAATTTCAGATCTTCTCCGATCATAAGAGTTTGAAGTATCTGTTCACCCAGAAGGACTTAAATCTGAGACAAAGAAGATGGATGGAATACATGGAGGATTATGACTTCACCTTGCAGTATCATCCTGGAAAAGCCAACGTGGTAGTGGACGCTCTTAGTAGAAAGACTCCAGGAATCCTAGCATCTTTGGTATTGGAAGATTGGAAACGGAGTGAAATTGTAGGTGATTATGATCTTCAGTATTATGAGGATCCTAACCAAGCTATGGTGTATAACTTGGTTTCAACGCCAATTCTTATACAACAAGTCAAGCAGAACCAATGGCAGGATTCGCATCTTCAAGGAATTTGGACTCGAGTTCAGAATGGAGAAAAACTGGACGATTGGAATATTCGGGAAGATGGAACGCTCTACTTCAAGAATCGCCTTGCCGTCCCTCAAGTGGATGAGATAAAGAAGATGATCCTTCATGAGGCTCACAAATCGAAGTTTACTATTCACCCTGGGAGTACCAAGATGTATCAAGACCTTAAAAGACAATATTGGTGGAGAGGTATGAAGAAGGATGTCCGCCAATACGTGTCAGAATGTGCGACTTGCCTTCGAGTCAAGGCTGAACATCAGAAACCTGCTGGAGAACTACAGCCTCTTCCTGTTCCTGGATGGAAATGGGAACACATTACAATGGATTTTCTGATGGGATTGCCGAGGACTGAACATCGGCATGATGCCATATGGGTCGTTGTGGATAGGTTAACGAAGTCCAAGCATTTCATTCCCTTTCGTGCAACTTATTCCAGAAAAGTCCTAACAGAGTTGTATCTGGAGCACGTTGTCAGACTTCATGGAGTCCCGTTGTCTATCACATTAGATCGTGACACTCGTCTCAATGCTAGATATTGGAGAAGTTTCCAAGAAGCCATGGGAACCGAACTGAATTTCAGCACCGCATTTCATCCTCAGACCGACGGACAATCTGAGAGAGTTATTCAGATTTTGGAGGACATGCTGGTGGAAGCTGGAAGAAGTATCTTCATTTAGCTGAGTTCGCTTACAACAACAGTTATCAGAGTAGCATTGGGATGGCCCCATTTGAAGCGTTGTATGGCAGACCTTGTAGATCACCAGTTTGTTGGCTTGAGTCAGAAGATCGACTGACCCTTGGACCGGATGTTATCCAGGAGAATAATGAAAAGATAGCCGTGGTTCGGGAACGACTGTTAACGGCTCAAAGTCGTCAGAAGAGTTACTGACAGGAGGTGCGTAGACCCTTAGAGTTCTTAGAGGGTGATTTTGTCTTGTTAAGAGTCTCACCGCGCAAAGGGGTTACTCGTTTTGGTGTGAAAGGGAAACTCGCACCGAGGTACATCGGGCCATTTCAGATCACACAACGAGTCGGTGTCGTTGCTTACCGCCTTGATCTCCCTCTGGAATTGTCTCACGTACACAATGTGTTCCATGTTTCAATGCTTCGAAAGTGTCAACCTAATCCAGAAACCATTGTGCAATGGTATGACGTGCCGATCCAGTATGACACGACTTACGAGGAAGTGCCCATCCAGATTCTTGACCGGAAGATGAAAAGCCTACGTCAACGTGAGATACCGTTAGTGAAGGTGTTGTGGCAACACCATGGCGTTGAAGAAGCAACGTGGGAATTGGAAACGACGATGCAGGAACGATATCCGTATCTGTTCATATCGTGAGGTAAATTTCAATTTCAGGGATGAAATTTCTTAAGGGGGGTAGAATGTAACGCCCTTTAGAATTAAACATGTTTAATTATGCTAAACAGTGGATTATTAGTGTGCCTAATTTGATTTTCATAATTAATTAAGGGACTTTAAGTCATTTTCAATATTTATAATTACACCCCAAAGATTTTTGGAAAACACACTTAAATTTAATACATTTTCCCTTTTTCCATTTTTCTTTTTC